GGGGAGAGTGAGGGATCACTGGGCGCTGACCCTTTCCGGTTCAGATCTGCTGGGCCGGTAACCTACTCCTGCCCCGTGCCCACAGCTCCTCCCGCCGCCTCACCGCAGCACCAGCCGAGCCCACAACTGCCAGGCCTCCGAGCCCGGGGAGGTCGGCCGCTGCCAGGCTGGCGAGCACACGGGCGCCGAGCTCAGCCCCCCTCAGCTGAGGCTGCCCGGGGGGGCCGCAGGTCTCCCAGCCTCATGGAGAAACTGGATCGTGAAGCCACCGGGGAGCTGCTGGGGCTCTGGCTGGTGTCAGGGGCTGGGATCCCAGAGCTTGGGCCCTGAGCTCCCCAGAGCCACCAAAGCGGTAGGATGCCTGGGACGAGGCAGACGAGCGCCACAGCCGGGCCTGACTGGTCCGCAGGAAAGAAGGGCTCCATTGTCCCCTCTACCCCCGGGAGTAGATTCCCCTGGGCAGCTGTTTGAGAGAATGCCCCCAGCTCTGGGGGGTGCGGGCTCAGATGCAGCTGGGTTTAATGCTAAACTCCGCAGGTCATGTCCAGGGCCACGTGGCAGCGTCTTCCTCGGGGGAGACCCAGCAGGGACAGGAGGTGACCGCAGGGTGGCGTGGTCGTCCCATGCCACCCGGCCCCGTCTGCATCTGCAGAGAAATTCAGCACACCCGGGCCTTGCATCTGCGGGCTGTTTTAAGGCCTTTAGGGGTGTGTGTAACCGGCAGGGTTTTTCCAAAAAAAAGTGGCCTCTTTTCGAAAAAACTTCCCCTGCATCTAGACTGCTGCCACGTTCTTTCGAAAGGAAATCAAAAGAAGGCGGCTGTTTTTTCGACGGCGGAAAACCTCATTTTACGAGAAGCACGGCTTTTTTCGAAAGCGCTCTTTCGTAAAACGGCGCTCTGTAATGCAACGGTGCTTTTTCGAAAGAGAGTAGCCAGACTCCCGGGGTGCGCTCTTTCGAAAAAGCAGCTCGCTTTTCCGAAAGTACTGCTTGTCGCCTAGACGCGCGTTTCCAAACGCCTCTTTCGAAAGAGCCTTGCAGTCTATAGGGTTTTGTCGACAAAAGTGGACCCTCCGGATTTTTTTGCTCAATCCTGCCATGTGGGGGATTTTTGGTGACAGTATCTGGCAACCCTAGCTCGAAAGGAGAGCAGGCCTGGAGGGAAGGAAGGGTCGGAAGCAAAGACAAGGTCCTACCCCAAAACAGGCGAGTCGGTGAGGGGTTCCCCAGGCCTGCTCCCCCAACCCAGGTCATTCCCCCCCGGACCCTCTTTTGGGCCTCAAAGACTTTCACCCCACTCACCCTGCAGCCCGTGAGGGGCTTGAAGCCCCACTGGTGTAAACAGCTGCTTGAGGCTCTCCCCCTGGCCTGGAGGCATGCGAAGGAGGCAGAGGAAAGAGAGGAGTTCACCTCAGCCACCTCCTCTTCCGCCCCGCTCTGCAGACTCAGCAAGGGCTCCTCCGCCCCCCTTCTGGGAGTGCTGCACCCCCGGGGCATGCCGCAAGACCCACTCCCAAGAGGCTCATGCGCGGGGCAAGCGCGGGAGAATCACACACTTCGCAGTAAGCTTTCCCGCGGAGCCAGCCAGGCGCCGGAAGGGGAGAGAACCGTCTGGCCTGCCTGGGTTTTCTGGAATGAAACCGCATCGTGCCACCAGCTGCTAACACCTCTCTGGGAGTGCTGCACCCCCGGGGCATGCCGCAAGACCCACTCCCAAGAGGCTCATGCGCGGGGCAAGCGCGGGAGAATCACACACTTCGCAGTAAGCTTTCCCGCGGAGCCAGCCAGGCGCCGGAAGGGGAGAGAACCGTCTGGCCTGCCTGGGTTTTCTGGAATGAAACCGCATCGTGCCACCAGCTGCTAACACCTCTC